TTTTTTTTTTTTTCCGGGAAAATCAGGATCCGCTCCACAATCCACGTCAAGGGGAAAATCTTTCCGTCTCTAGGTAGGATAACATATGTAGGGATTTATTGAAGTAGTATCATGACACTCGTTGGACATGACATTCCGGTCAGCATCGAGTTGTTCTCATATATTTTTGTTGCTTTGTTAAGTTTAATGAACAGGCATTTGAATATCTTCATATTGGTGCTATGTTAATATAGTAAGTACATAATGCTTCAACGATCTAACACTTCAGGGTAAAGAACAATGGAAATTGACAATAGAACCAAATAACAAGGTAAATAACAATGGAAATTGACAGTAGTATAGTAATCTTTCATGTACTCAACAATAATTTACCAGTTAAACTAACTACATATCTGGAAGACTTGAACATATCTATTTCAGAAGGGTAAACTTCATATTATGCAAATTGTCCATAACATGGTATTAAAAAGTTTCAGAAAATAATACACTTTATATTCTGCCTATTTTTAGTGCCATTTGGGTCAATTTCACAACTTCCTCTTTTCATATTAGTGAGTTTTAAAATTTTTTTTTTTTTTTGGGTGTCAAGCTGCTGGAATTAATAATCGCCATCAAAAGTTGGTAAATGGAAACGAGCAATACAATTTGTCAATCTAACTGAATCACATTGTCGATCGGAAAGTTCCTTTATAGATTACCTTATTCTCTTGATGAAAAAATAAATCAACAAGACCCACAATTTATATCGATAAGAAACCAATATCTTTTAAAACCATCGTATTGGGCACACCCAAAAACTTGAGACTCTGTACTAAGGGGAATCACATTCGTTTGTTGCAATCTTGAAGACTTCTTTACTCGCAAAATTAAGCCCATCTCTCAACGTAATCATCTCCACATCCTCCGCACTAACCCATTGTTTTGTTTCATAAAGCCCCCGGAACCCCAAACTCATCGCTTATGATTGTCTTGAATTCATAAATCTGATAAGAGTGTAAAATATAATATTTTTCCCTCTTAATTATTGGACTCATGTGATTATTTGATACCAAAATACATTCATTATATTCATATTTTGATTCAGGTTGCATTTTGGTAAAAAAATGTGAAATTTAAAAGAAAAAAGCGAAAAATGATCAAAATAGAAAAATGTGAAAGTTTAGGGATCAAATTGCAAATAATCCAAAGATAGGACAGGCAATGGAATAATGATTCGAGAAAGCTAAGAGTTAATTGAGTGCTATTTGAACTCAAAAGAAGTGAAATATGACCATAACATTTTCACAAACCAAATTCCAACCACACAAGGATGTTCTAGATTTTCAATCAGAGATTGAGATCAATTATTGACCCAGTAAATGGCCAAATTGGAAAAATCTTACTTCTAGAAAAATTGTATCCCTTTGTGTTAACTTTTGAACACAACTTGAATCACCTCAATCAGACATCGAGAGAGAAAGTTATGGCCAAAATACTAAAAACTGTCTAGTGAAGAAAATTGTTATATTTCGAGGCCGAATTTTCAGCTTCCTAAATTAATGCTACCACTAATGGAAACACGTTTTCACACGTTTCTTAAAACCAAAACATCCAGAACGTGGGGGAATGAAAAAAGACATCATTCTTCTCATCTTTTGACACAAGAAAACTCTATGGAAGGCTAAAGAATTCTTGGTAAAGCCACGAACGAACTCATTTGGTATCGGTGATTTTAACGTCATTTCATGCATGTAATTTGGTTTTTTCATTAATAAACAATTCTAGGGTTTGGATTTCCTATTTTATGAATGTATTTTGAAATTGATTTAACTGGTATTAAGTTTTTCATGGATCTAATCATGTTCTTTTCATTGAATAATTGAAGTATTGATTGAATTTCAATTTCTATTATCCTATTGGTATGATTCTCTACCATTATATGCTTGATGTATATAATTGCTTTTGAATCTTATTTTAATGGATTAAAGTCGTTATGTGTTTTGAAAAATTTGGATTTTAGAATTAATATAGCATTATGGTGAAATTAAATGGGTGTTCAATGTTTTATCTTCCAAATAAAGTATTAAGATAAAAGATCTTTAATTGAGTATTAGAATGCATGATTGGTACTGATTAATCCTAACCGGATGAGGGAATTCCAATGTTTCACTATTTCGTATATTGATTTAAACTTAGTTCTCTCAAACATTGATAGTTAAACTTCATTTTAAATTGATAAATTCTTTTTACAAAATTTACAAAACCCTCAAGCTATTGTATCTTTTCAATAATTTTCAATCTCCCTGTGGAATTAACACCCCCAAAATTGTAAATACAATCATCACATTATGCTTTGGGTGTAATCAAAACCCATCACTCTTCAGATGGCCACATTGGTGTTGAGCTTGACCATACCTGTGGACCGTGTAGCAGCCCTAGAGCACTTCCTTATCGGTTGAGCAGCACCCACCTTATGTTCTCATTCCATTAGATAATGAATATGTATGCTCCTATAAATATTTAGTTCTTCTATTCAGTTTAGCGGAAACATTATTGCTGAAATTGTATTATTTTCTCCTATTGGTTGTCCGATTTCTTTCTTTACTTTTAATCTTGTTCTTGTTTGTGCAATCATATACTTTATATTTTGTCAATAACCTCCCTTATTTTCCCAACAAGTGGTATTGGAGTTACGCTTAAGAGTTTTATTTGAGGTTTCTTATCAATCACAGTCGTGAAGTATGATATTCCGCTTTTGGATCGCAATACAAGTTATTCATTATGAGTAAAAAATGAGAGTAGTATTGGCGCAAATAAACTTAGATGATGTATTGTTAGGGTTTGATAAGATGCCTACAACTTGGACAACAGAGGAAAAGCAATAGAAGGATCGGAAGGCTCTTTCGCAGATACATCTTCATCTTTCTAACAACATTTTTCAGAATANGACAACAGAGGAAAAGCAATAGAAGGATCGGAAGGCTCTTTCGCAGATACATCTTCATCTTTCTAACAACATTTTTCAGAATATATTGAAGGAGAATCTTTGGAGACTATATTCTCATCGCATTATAGAAGGAGGATATTTAGAGAACCATCTGGCCTAGTTCAAGAAAATCGTCGCTGATCTAGAAACGTTAAAGGTAAAGTATGACGAAGAGGACTTAGCTTTGATCATGTTGTGCTCACTGCCCGCTTCGTATTTGTCGTTCAGGGACACGATTTTGTATAGTTGCGACACACTCACCATTGATGATGTTTATGATGCTTTATTCTCAAATGAGAAGATGAAGCATTTCGAGTTGGATTTAGAGATGAGGAAGCTCTGGTTATTCATGGTAATCGACAGAAGGGTAAGTCGATGTTGAACTATAGCAATCAAGCCTACTTCTATTGCAGGAGGAAAGAGCACATAAAAAAGGATCGCGGCAAGTTTCAAGGTAAAGGTAATTCAGCTGCAAATCATGGGCAATAATCATATCATTCAGACAAGACAAACATCGCTGAGGACTTCTTGGATGGCGGAGATGTAATGTTGACTGTATCTGACATGGAAACTAAGCCTGATGAGAAGTGGATTTTGAATCTAGAGTGTTCGTTCCATATATGTCCCAATAGGATCTGGTATTGTCATGGAAACAACAAATCTTGTAGGATAGCTAAAATTAAAATGGTCAGATTGAGGTTGTTGGATGGGATAGTAATAACACTTGGCCATGTTTGATGTTTGCTAAAATACTACACTGCAAGTGCACGGGTTGCGTACAAGTAATAAAGTGGATCTTTTGAGTCCAGATTGTCGATCCCTCGAGGAATGTATACTTTGGATTACACAACTCTGATTAATTTAATTCTAACAATAAATATAAACACACACGATTAAAGATATGATTTTAAATGAGGAAATTAACTAAAAACCTGCAAGATAAGAAAAGGTAAAAAATCTTGGAAATTTTGGAATCAAGCGTGGTTGGAATTTATGGTTTCACTTAATCGTCGCCTAATTAATTTCTCTACAAGCCAATTAACAAATTACTCATTCACGATGTTAGACCCAATCTTCCAATTTTAGTCAATTACCTCTCTCGGCCGAAATTAACCCTAATTGATTGGTTTAACCTACTATGTCTTTATGTCGATTAAAACCGAACAATTGCATTCAATCTTTGTGAAAATAGCTCAATGGGTCGCCTAGGGTTAGGGGTATATCTCTATCTTCTAAACAAACCTAGGGTTTCTACTACTTGATCTAAAATGCACAATCTTCTCTCGAACGATGTACAAATCACTTAACATAATCATTCATTGACCGCATAAATGAAAATGCAATAAATACAATAATAAAAACACATGAAAATAAAAACTAAACATTAAAGAGAAAATATCAAAATTAATTAAAAGTTAGGTTAAACTAATACCATAAATCCCAACACAAATATTTAGCCCATGTTAAATATACGATAAAAATGATAATGTTTTATACAATACATTGCAAGTTTGACAAAATAATAGAGAAAATACAAGGTATAGATAAAATCATCTTTAATTGAATCTCCTTGTACTCTAGATTGTGCCTCCAAAATACCAAGGAAAGGAAAAGAAA